GAAGACAAGGTCTTTCAGCTTTTATCCAGTCTTGACTCTACCTATGAGGACCTGCGAAGCCACATATTGATGAGTGTTGAACTACCATCTCTCAATACTGTGTGCACTATCGTTCAACGAGAAGAAGCAAGAAGGAAAGTTATGAGTACTAAGGTTGGTGATCCTGAGTCTAGAGCTTTCGTTGCAAGTGATAGAAGGTTTGAAGGAAAAAATTTCAAAGGAAAGAAAGGAGAAATGCAATGCAGTCATTGTGGACAGAAGAATCATCTCAGAGACACTTGTTGGGTGTTGTATCCACACCTTAAGCCTAACTTTTCCAAACAAACCAAACCTGGTCGCAGTGCAAATCAAGTCCCTCGCTTGCAGACTGCCTCAACTGTTGGGAACTTCACATCTAATCCCTCAGCTCTCTTGAGTGAGTTCACTTCCTTCACTCAGAAGAAAGATGAAAGCAATCTTCATAAAGGAAACAGTGAAGCTAGCACCACTGAATTATTTGAGCAGTTCGCAAAATTTCTTCAGACAAAGGTGTCATCTTCCGTTGATATGTCAGGTATTCTAAACTCATTTAGTGCTGCACTTGCTTCCAGAAAACTTGCAAATGTTTGGATAATAGACTCTGGAGCGACTGATCACATTACAAATATAAAAAGATATATGCATGACTTTAAAGAGGCAGTTATTCCGCAATTTGTCTCTGTTGCTAATGGAACTGGTGTATCAGTTTTGGGTGAAGGGAAAGTCAAGTTAATTGATACTAATGTTGAATCAACTGCTCTATATGTGCCCTCCTTTCCATTTCAGCTTCTGTCAGTAGGAAGGTTGACAAATTCCTTAAACTGTGATGTTATATTCTCGCCATTCAATGTGATTTTCCAGGATCGTATCACGAAGAAGAAGATTGGTGAAGGCATGTATAAAGATGGCCTCTATATGCTTTCATTGCAACCTGTTGAAGCTAGAGGTCTTCAAGTTGGTTTTTTTGAAGAATCATCTATTATGGCATAGACGATTAGGGCATCCCTCTAATCTTGTGCAATCACATCTCTTCAAAACTTCAGAGAATGTGATGACTCAAGATTGTGAAGTTTGCCATTTTTCAAAACAGACGAGGTTGCCTTTTGATGTCTCATCAACCAAGTCATGTAAACCTTTTGAGATTGTGCACTCTGATGTTTGGGGACCTGCACCCTTGGTTTCTTTTGATGGTTTTAGATACTTTGTCACCTTTGTGGATGATTTCTCAAGATGTACCTGGTTGTATTTGTTGAAATCAAAAGATGAAGTTATTAATGTGTTCCAAGAATTTCACAGTCTTGTCACAAATCAGTTCTCAACCCAACTTAAAGTCTTAAGGTCAGACAATGGTACTGAGTATATGTCTAATGCTTTTACTCAATATCTAACTTGTCATGGAATAATTCACCAAACGAGCTGTGTTGGTACTCCGCAACAAAACGGAGTAGCAGAAAGGAAGAACCGTGATCTACTGGAGAAAACTCGATCACTTATGCTTCAAATGAGTGTACCTAAGAAATTCTGGTCTCATGGGGTTCTTACTGCTGCATATGTAATTAATAGGCTTCCAAGCAAGGTTCTCAAATTCAAGGCACCTCTTGAAACACTTAATGGCAGGAAAATTAACTTGTCTCACCTTCGAGTGTTTGGATGTGTTTGCTTTGTTCATATTCAAACCTTGCATCGAGATAAATTGGACCCTAGAGCTGTAAGGTGTTTGTTCTTAGGGTACTCATCTGTTCAAAAGGGATATAAGTGCTATGACCCAAAGCGCAGGAAACTTTTGGTGTCTAGAGATGTGGTTTTTGACGAGAAAACTCCTTTTTTTGCTAGTACCAGGGGTGAAGATCTTCTGGGGGAGGAGGACTTTCTTGATCAAATCCTCACGCCAATTATGGAAATCAATGCACTGCCTCATCATTTTTCAGCTCCAGATCAACCAAGCAACAATGAAATTTCGATTGATCCAGTTGAGTGTAATTCATCATCTGACATACTTGTTGATAATGAATCAACTGAAGACACTGAACAAAATCAAATTTCGTCCGAGGAGAACCTTGCTATTACTCCTGAAGTGATCACTCCAAGGAGAAACCCTAGTAGAAATCGGGGTAAGCCAACTTGGTTTAAAGATTATGTAAGTTATGCCTCAAGACATCCTATAGAAAAATATCTTGAATACTCAAGAGTATCTTCGTCTCATGCTGCTTTCCTAAGCAAAATTTCAGCCTCATCTGAACCAAGCTCATTCCAAGAAGCTAACTCTCAATTGATCTGGCAAACAGCTATGGATGAGGAGCTTAGAGCTCTAAATGAAAACAAAACTTGGAGCATCACCAAGCTACCTAAGGGGATGAGAGCTGTGGGGTGTCGATGGGTGTATAAAACCAAATTTAAGAGTGATGGTTCAGTGGAGAGACACAAAGCTAGATTGGTGGCTAGAGGTTTTACTCAAACTTATGGCATTGATTACAAGGAAACCTTTGCTCCTGTGGCAAAGATGAACTCGGTAAGAGTGCTTCTCTCGGTTGCTGTCAACCATGATTGGCCCCTATACCAAATGGATGTTAAGAATGCCTTCCTGCATGGAGAACTTAAAGAAAGATGTGTACATGCAGTTGCCTCCGGGACATCCACAAGAAGAAGAGGGCATGGTTTGCAAGTTACACAAGGCCATTTATGGCCTCAAACAATCTCCTCGAGCTTGGTATGCCAAGTTAAGTTCTGTGTTAGAGAACATTGGTTTTTAAAAGGAGCAATGCAGATTCCTCACTATTTGTGCGAGATAGTTCAGCAGGTAAACTTGTCGTTCTCATCTATGTCGATGATCTCATTGTGACTGGTGATAGTTTGACAGAAATTCAGCGACTTAAGGGCTTTCTTCACAAAAAGTTTGCAATTAAAGATCTAGGAACTCTGAAGTATTTTCTAGGCATTGAAGTTGCTTCATCTAGTAAAGGCTTGCTCTTGAACCAACGCAAGTACATACTTGATTTACTTCAAGAGTCCAAAATGCTTGAGGCAAAACCAGTGGCAACCCCAATAGCTTGCAAAGAGAAACTTGGATTAGATGGAGATTTACTGATAGACGTTGGTTTATACCAGAGATTGGTAGGGAAACTTATTTACCTTACCATTACTCGTCCTGATATCATGCATGCCGTGAGCCTAGTCAGTCAGTTCATGCATGCTCCTCGATCAATTCACTTACAAGCTGTTCGAAGGATCTTGCGCTACTTGAAAGGCACTGTTGGAACTGGGATTGTGATGAGGAAGATCGGAAATGCTCACATTGTTGGCTACACAGATGCAGACTGGGGTGGCTCCAAAATTGATCGAAGATCTACTACTGGATATTGTACATTTGTTGGTGGAAATCTGGTGACATGGAAAAGCAAAAAACAAAGTGTGGTGGCTCGATCAAGTGCAGAAGCTGAATATCGTGCCATGGCATCTACTACCTGTGAGTTAATTTGGCTGCAAGGTTTGCTCAACGACTTAGGGTTCAAGAGAACACTGCCTATGCCTCTTTTCTGTGATAACCAAGCTGCTATTTACATTGCATCTAATCCTGTATTTCATGAAAGAACCAAACACATTGAAATGGACTGTCATTTTGTTCGAGAAAAAACCCAATCTGATGTCATTCAACCTGTTTTTGTTCGAAGCACAGATCAACTAGCAGACATCTTCACCAAAGGATTGTCTCGGGTTCAATTCAACACTCTTTTGGTCCAACTTGGCTTGATGAATATACTAGCCTTCGTTTGAGGGGGAGTGTTAGATTATTTAATATCCAAAGTATGGGTTATAGGTATGGGTAGAATATCTAATATCCAAAGTATGGGTTATAGGTATGGGTTAATGTGTAAAGTATGGGTGTTAGAATATTAATGTGTAAAGTATGGGTGTTAGAATATTAGTGTGTGAAGCATGGTGTGTGATGTTCATCGGGTGACTCACGACATCCTTCTCCACTTGTATAAGTTCTCTTTCTTGTAACCTTACACATTTTCAATACAAACAATTCTTTCAAAACTATCACAAACCCTCTACGGGAGATGAATCTTCCGGCGTATCCACAATGGAAAGAAAATGTTACAGCTCTGCTAATAGTCTGGCAAAAAGAGGAACATGATTTGATTTCATGACCGTCTCTTGTTGCGCAGTTTAGGAACATGATTTGATTTCATGACCGTCTCTTGCTGAGCAGTTTAGGGATGGTCAGGTCTGCCCCTCCAAAGCCATCCATTATCGCATTTGCCCAAGGGAACTCAGCTCTGGCCGTCAAGCTACAGGAATTCGAAAAAACAATAATAAGTGTTTAAAGTAGGACATCAAATCAAAACTTGATTCAATAATGAGGATTTAAAGAAATTGTAAACTGGTAGGAATTTGAAACAACACATGGAGCGAAAAAGCCTTCACCTGCTTCTTAAAACAACACAATCGCATACTGGCTTCCTGAAATAAGAACACAATCGCATACAGGTAGTCCAGCAACTTCTGCCCCAGCTCGCAATGCAAGAATGATCTTCTCTAAGCTGGCAGAAAACAATTAACATGCCAAAGCGAACAACAAAGTCAGTTAGACAATATATTACTCTACTCATTCATAGAGTACAAGAAAGAATAGATTATATGACGCTGAAATACTAGATATGTGAAATCGCTCTTTAAGTTGCACAAGCATTTGCCGACCATAGCAGCAAAGGATTTGACATAAATATATGCAAGCTAGCTTCGATTTCACATCATTTCTTTGGCAACACTTCAGCAGAATCTCCAAATGTAGGTAATGGTGAAAAATATCCATACCCAAGTTCTATATACTGCTTTAAGCTATTTCCAAATTTCAGAAATTCCGAAAATATGGCTGAAGCCAAGAATGTCTAAGCACTGATAAAGAGGTTTTGCACATGGTTTTGGTCTAAGCTATTCATAGTTGAAGAAGGTAAAAATATCAAGCAGAAATTTAGACTCGGTATATTTGAGAGCCAAAAGGTTGTGTAATCATCCAAGTAAATTTTCTGTTATCAGAAACTCACTCTTCAACTCCAGGTCGTAAAGTCAAACTTTCTGACATCAGAAACTCATCCATTGCAATTTTCTGTCAAGAACAAATTAATATTAGCTACTTTCATTCTACGTATGAGAGAGCTAAAAGACTGTAAATTTGAAGCTCAGCATGTGTTAATTACATATTTATTAATTCCTCTCCCCTTCATTAATGTGTTTTACACTTTTACCTTGTATTGTAAGATATAAAAGATAATAAGCTATCAAAGTGAAAAGTGAAATGAGTTTGCAAATATCTCAAGATAAGCAGCTATTTATTTTGGGTAAAAATGATAATTTTCATAGATAGCTCACCCTGGAAAAATATACAAACAGCTCTATCAATATAGTGATTAACCCGAAACCAGATTCCTCATTAGCCCTGGAATTATAAATTCTTCCTTGTTTTTGTTCCTCAGTATACATAACTACATGATCAAAATATATTTGCAACAAAGTCTAACATTTCTTTTTGTGTATATCCTATTTTCCGATGCAATGCTGGACATTAAGCTTTCAAACAATCATTGATCACAATCCAATCAAACCAGCAAAACTAATCCATGCAGCCGAGTAAAAGTAATCAAATACTAATAATTTTTGTGCGAAGGACCTAAGTCTAGACTTGTATCTCAGTGGTACGATCAGATATAAATGTTGAGATGCATCCACAAAGCCTAACTTAAGCACTGAATAAGACCGTACCTTCTGTTGCAGAACATTTTTCACAAATAACTCCACCTGACTTGGTTGCAATGAACTAGGCTAACCAATCTGCAAGACAGATTATAGTAGAGTTAGAAGAAAAAGATACATAACAAAGGAAAGTTTCAAAGAGCTACTTCAAGCTAATCATACTTTTCAAAGAAAACAAAAGAGTAAACACACCGAATTAAAATACAAATTCAGCATCTTTTCCTCATCACCAGCACTTGTCCTGAAAGATTAACATAAACTGCATTTAAGGTATAAAATTTGATAAAACCTTAATCCAGATGTTTACAAACTTTTTTTCCAAACCATATATGAGGAAAATAAGGCAAAGCATGACTGTAAAGCGAACAAGTAATCTGGGTCAGAATCTTGTGACTTTCCACATCGAAAAACTCTTACCACCCAGATATGCACTCGGAAATGTAGACATGTTTTAGGGCATTAGCCCCTAGTGGCCGGCCCCACTAGGAGTGGCCGGCCCCTACCCCCTATTTTGCTAGGTTTATGGTTTAATTTTGAACAATTTTTCTATGTATTTGGAATCATTTGTTTGGTTTTGGTTTGTTTTGAATTATGGATTGTTATTGGAATGGATATTATTTTCTCGAATTGCTTAATTGAATGAATGGATTTATATTTATGTATGTGACCAATTCAATCAATTTATTTCTAGGTATGTCTAGTAGGGAAGTTAGTTGTCTGGCAGATAGTGCAACTACGCACACCATTTTGCGTGAACGACACTATTTTACTAACTTCATACCCAAGAAAGCTCATTTGACAACTCTCTCAGGCTCATCCAACCTGATTGAAGGATACAAAAAGGCACGTATCATGTTGTCTAATGGTAAAATCTTGACCATTAAGGAGGCACTCTTTTCTCCACGTTCCGGAAGAACGTTGCTGAGTTTTAGAGATATTCGAGATAATAAATATCATCTTGAAACCACTGAAGATCATGGTTCTGAATTTCTTTGTATCACTTCATACGAATATGGCTAGAAGCATATTCAATTGACTCATACTTGACTGAACCAAACTCAATGAATCACGATTTCAAGTCTACTAAATAACTTAAAGAAAAAGAAACCAAATAAATAACTTAAAGAACAAGAAACCAAATGAATAATCTAAAGTCATGAATCTTTACTCATAATTTTAATTTCCTACCTTAGGAGGCCCAAGTAAAGAGGCTCTGTCCAATATTCATAGCCAAGTCCAACCTTCTTAAATGCTACCAATATATCACAAGATAATACAGTGAGATTGACACATAAAACGCAAATTGATCAAGAAAACTTAATACATTAGGATTAAATTACTGCATTTTCACACCTTCATTGAAGCTTTGGTTCCCCAACTGATCAGCATCCAAAAGAACCCTGAAAGAAACGAAAGGAATCGTCAAGAAAAAGGTTTCCGAGAAAACCCAACTCCAAGTCGAACAATGCAGCAACAAATTGCTTCAAAGAAACCACGAAAACACGAAAATGCAATCAAAGAAGCAAGAAAATGTGAAAAGAAAAAAAAAACAAATTAATCGAAATGCTTGGAGAAAGAAGGGGAAAGAAATCGTCCTACCCGTCAACTTCGAGAAGAACAGCCAGTTCCTGAGATGGGTTCTGGTCCTTAGCGCTGGAGAGGGAGCTGAATGCGGCGAACCGATGGAAGTGCAGACATTTTCCGGGAAAAGTTGAGTTTCTTGGGAAAGTGGAGGAAAATGGACGGACCAAGTTGGGGTTGCGGTTGTTCTTCGGGAGGGCGAGGAAGCGCGCGGTGGTGTTACTTGACAGGAAAATGGCGGCGGTAGAAGAAAAGGGCTGAGCTCGGAGAATTGAGCGCGAAGCGGTAGAAGAAGAAAGGTGCTTGCTTGAAAACGGTTATTGTTGATTTACAGCTGACACTGGAAGAAAAAATCAGCTTTTATAGCAGAATAATGGCGGTTCTTCATGAAATGACACATATACCCTTCCTGGATTTTCTACCTCGCGTGTCCTCACGACCCGAAACCAACCCGAGAAAAAACCCGATATAATATGGGGTGACCCGGCATGTCCGATTTCTGTTAAAAGCCCTTGAAGTTCCATTTATTTATTTATTTTTAATTTATTTATTTTTATTATTATTTTAAAAGCACCAGCTAGATGGCTTTCGCAGTCCACCATTTGGAAACAGAAAGACTCATAAAGACATTGTAGCATTCCCCCGACCACATCGTGTGATTGACTAGCGTCAAAAATCGAATCCAAAATGTATATTGTGGAATACGAACCTGGAATTTGTCCCCAATTGTTACCCGTGATAGTTCCCATCAAGTTCAAACTCATTTTTGGGGTTTTTGATCCAAAGTGTTAATTATAAATTTGAAGACAATACAGTGATAGTGAAGTCGCTAAACCCAGAAGAAAGATTTGTTGCGTCTCTTCGTGCCTGTATTCTTTCTTCCATGCATGAATTTCATCAAGGATGTGATTCTGTTACTTGTTTCTCAAGGCATACAGAATTCTTAGCAATTACATCCTCGTTGGAAATTCATCTGCATGATTGGATGCATAGAATTAACCGTGCTAAGATATCCTCTCACATGCTGCCCTACAACACGGTAACTGGAATTTTCACATTAGAAGCGGTCTTCTAGCAGCTTGTTGGTTTTTATGACTTACATGTTCAACAAGTCTTGAATTTGACGGACATCAAATCACTGATTAATTAACCTTTATTAGAGACTATTGGATAGTGTATTGAGCAATGATAGGGTTAACTTTTGTTAGAGACTAAACTCAATGTAGTCAGTTTTATGTGTTTCAGTTTATAAAATTATTAAATAAGTTATATAATGATTATATTATTACTTAAATTACTTATTTGAGGACACCTAGTACAATACATTAGCATTTTTTCTTCGTTTAAGTGAGATTTCTTAGGTTCGATTTATGTGGATGACGAGTTTGATACCAATTTATTATGGCTTGGTCATTGTGTAGCTTAGCCAAAAAATCCCACCACCTCTAAGCGTAAATAATAACGTTATATTAGAAATGAAAGAAAATTACGTACTTGTGAAACTTTATACACACACACACACTAATATATGCCCACACACAAAGTGTGAAATTTTTTACTTTGAATGTAAAATTGAAGGAGAGAGGAAGAGCGGAAGAGAGTGAGAGAGAACGTGGGAGTGAGGAGAGAGAGGTTGCTTTTTATTTTTATTTTTTTAAATTAGAAATGATAAACTTACATATAGGTGAAGTTTAGAGGAAAAAAAAGGTAAATTTTTGTTTTGTGAAATTACGTTATTGTCCTTAATTTTTTTGTTCTGATCAAGGATTTTCACCGATTTTTAGTTGACAAAGAGAGTTTTATTAATGTAGTTATATATATATATATATATATATATATTTTTTTTTTTTTTTTGTGCAGTCTCAGATTTTGGCGGTTATGGCTACCATTGACTTGGATGACAAACCAAATTATGTTGTTCATACATTCCATATATTATAGGGAACTTTAACGAAAAGCACCCGGTACTGTTCACTTTAACGAAAAACCACATTTTTACACTAAAAAGTCAATCCTGGTACTATTCACTTTACCCTTTATTTTGTCCTTATCATTAAAACTCAAAGTTTTCAAACCCTTTTCATTAGTTTTCTATATGGAGTTAGGTAAAATTTCATGTGAAAGGTTTTTTTTTTTTAGGGTACTTCCGGGAACAGATCCAGTGGAGGATCCTTTACATGTAAGACCTATTGCTCATGCAATTTGGGACAGATTTTTCGTTAGCGAAATCTCTTTCCGGGAGTTCTAAAAGTTATTCTCTGAGTATGCGGAGCCATTATTATCCCATGTTCTTTTTGCAGATGATTCGGTGTTATTTGCCGAGCTACATTGCTATGCTGAAGGTTCATGCCAATTAATAAAGTTGGAGAAGAGTTGTCTACTTTCTAGCTCCAATTGTTCAGATGATCTTAAGTTGAGATTGGCAACGGAGATGTGTATTAAACATCAGGATGGATTTGGAAAATACTTGGCTCTTCACGCTGACTTTGGAGCATCGAAGAAGAAAATACTTGGGTATGCCGCTCAGTAAATTTGGATGTCCGGATAAACTTGTTTGGCACCATACGAAGATTGGGGTGTATTATGTTTAAGCCCGGTTATTGGATTGCTCAAGAACTTAATCGCAATGGGAAGGGTGTTGGGGAGTTGAGTGCAGGGTAAAATAAGGATAAGGTGTGGTCTTCTATTTGGCGTTTGGAGGTTCCACATAAACTCCGGCATTTTATTTGGAGGTGCTGTAAAAATATATTAATGGTTCACGTTAACCTTAACTGGCAGAGAATTCGACTCGATACTACATGTTCAAATTGTGAGGATGCGGTGGAAACACAAGACCATTTATTTTTCCATTGCCCATACGCTCGAGTGTTTTGGTTTGGGAGTCCACTCCAACTAGACTCTACTTTTTGTTCAGGGAGAGGATTTTTTTTCAAAAAATGGAAATGGTTATCCAATCGGTATGAGAATGTTGAAGAAAATGGGAAAATAATGAGATGGGTGGTGTGTGGATTATGGAGACTTTGGAAATGCAGGAATAGTTTGGTTTTTGAGAAGCATGTTGTTCAACCAATTGAAGCTGTCAGGATGTTACAACAACAATGGAGGGAGGTAGAGCCAAGGGGAACAAGGTTTACGAATGGAGGTAGGGCATCGGCAGGCTAGGGTGGAGAGTGTATTGCCATTGTGTTGGTAGCGGCCTCCATTTCGTACAATTAAAATTAATTGTGACGGAGCTTAGGCAGAGGAGGCGCTGAGGGGGAGCGAAAGGTACAATCGCACAGGGCCTTTAAATTTGAAGGGCCACAAAATTTGTTGGTGTCTTATATTTATATGTAATAATGTTATATATTAAAAAAAATACTTTTATTAGCACTTTAAAATCTTACAATGCACTTTTACAAGTACACTATTTTTTTTCTTTCTAAATATAAAAATTTGGAGTGCACAATGAGATATTAGGAGTGCTAATAACAACACCTTAAAAAATGATTTTCTTTTCAATTTTATTAATTATATAATAATGCTATATATTCAAATGAAACTCTAAAGTTAGAGTTTTTGAAGCTTTTTTTTTTCTTTATTTGATTGCTTAAGATTGAACTGTTTTTTATTATTTAGTGAAGGTTATGTTTGTAACTCTTTTTACTTATTTAATGACACTTGTAAACTTACAATCAGTGAGTCCTAAATGTTCTTTTGATTTAAGTTATTATTTTCTAGTACCAATATATTGTCATACTTTAAAAATATATATATCTTAAAAATGGCCTCTTTTATAAATTTCGCACAGGGCCCCCGAAATCTCGAAGACGGCCCTGAGCTTGGGTTAGAGAAACGGGACTGGGAGGACATGGTTGGGTGGCATGGGATTTTGCAGTAATTTTAAAGCCGCATAAGGTGTGGGTAACATTCTTTGTGAGTCCAGTCTAGGGATGGGCAAATACCTATTGGTTATGGGTAACCGCGGTTATCAGTCCATTTAAATTTGACGGTTATGGTTATGGGTATAACCGTTTACCCGTGAAATTTAAATGGACGGTTATAAGTATTACCCGCGGTTATAAACGGGTACCCATTTAACCGTTTATTTTAATATATGTAAAACTAAAAAAAAAAAGTTTCTAACTAGGTTTAGTATCCCAAGATATATTTGGTTATAAAGGGCCATAATATATATATATATATATATATGCTTCTCTTGAGAGAAAAATATAGTTGATAGAACGGGGCTAATGTTTAATATATGTGATTGAATGTGCTAAACCATTAGCGTGTTCGACAATTTTGTTTTGGAGTCTTTTGGAGCTTTGACCAATTTAAGATAATGATTACCTTGAGCATTTAGAAACATGTTATTATCAGATGATGCGTGTATATATATATATATATAATTGGCCTCGAGTTTTCAATAAATATTTGACCCCAAAATTAGAAATCAATTTAAATGGCTTGGATCGATGAACATATGTTTCTAAATAAAAATCCAAATATTTATCAAATTAGCTTATTAGCATATTGATGCATAGTTACATATATATATATATGACACACCCCGTCCCGAAGGAGGGCATGCTGGCCGTCACGTGAGAGTGACGTAACCATTTGCACAGTACGGAAGCTTTAAGATACAATTTATAAGTTGATACACCCGAAGGTGAGTCCTAATTTTGTCCAATCTGTCAGAACACCGTCGAATTCCTCGTAGTCACCACACCTTTGTGATTCCTGAACCTGGAGGGGCGCAAAACCAAAATTGAGTGGGTCAGTAAAACAATTCTTTTCCAAATCCAAACATTTCTCAAAACGTTGTAACCCCTCTCCGTAAAACCTGTATACTTTCCCAGAAATATAAAATATAAATATACATATATATATTCTCAATACTTCAAT